GTAATTAGGCTTTATTTACGAGCGTGCGTTTAAGTGCTGGTAAAAAAAAATATTCCTTATAATTTCAAATTAGGTGTTATTTTTAGGTGTGAAATAATTTGTGGAGAAAGTATTAAAGTTATACCTAGTGGTTATAAAATAAAAAAATGTAGGTACTGGTGAACAATAAAAACAGAAATAAAATAAAAGATGGCGATTTTTAACACATTTTTGATGACTTCTTCACTGAGTGAAATTATGTCATTTTTCTTATCAAAATCACAATATAGAAAAAAAAAAACGCATTTAAGGAGAATAATATTTGCACTCTCCCGGTACATCCCTACTTTAAAAACACAATTAAGAATGGAATCGCACGTAAGCATTGAACTAAACGCTTCTCACAATGCAATATTAGAGGCTAATAAGGCTCGATAGCCTGGCCGGCTCGATTAGCTGCTCGTAATTGTACAGGCTTGTATAGCCAAGGTATAGCCGCTAGTAACCAACTCTATTGGCTATGTAGCCGTAGGTACTTAATGTTTATAAGCACGCAAACTCAAGTTTCTGACTCCGTGTGTATGTGTGTGTGTTAAAAATCCTGGTCTTAAGGTAGATACTTCTTTTATATTGTTGTTTGTTTTGGTTGTTTATTTGTATGTGAGAATGTGAATTTGCTTTATAAATGTGTACTTCTGATTTTCCTCTTAATTTGGTTCCTTTTATATTGTGGTTGGGTTAGAGAGAGATTTTGAGGAAAAGGTTCTGAGCTAAATGCGTCATATTTCTATTTGGAAGACTTTTTAAGTTATTAACAATATAAATACTAGATATTTGTCTTAAAAATATTTTACGGAATTGTACACAACATGTAAAAACTACTTCTAGGTACACCCGAATGCAAAAATGCTAGAATTAGGTTTGTAATTTACTTATTAATTTCAATAGTTGGTCACATTTGTGGTTAAGAAATGACGCAATTAACTAAACAATCGAATTTATTAATGAATGAGTGACTAATTAAGGAATCATTCATCACTTTCTCACTAATGACTGCAATCATTTTTGTCTTACTTTGTAACTGTCAACGAGACATTGAGAAAAATATTGCGTTTTGTTATTGCTAAGAGAAAATACTATTAATTATGCGATTAGGATAATCGTATAGCAAGATGGCTGCACGACGTCGCCGCTACGCGCACGTTGCTGAAGAATAAGAGTCCCGTAGTAACTTGAAACTAGTAGAGCTTTTCTCGGTTAATTCACTTGATTCAGCTTCGAGTAAATATTTTGAATTTTTATGAAGCCTGATAAGGACTTGAAAATTTCTGTTTATACTTATCTATTACATTTTCCTGACCAATTTGATTAATTCTAGAATCCTTAAATCATAACATAAGTCATCTTTGTGAACATTCGATAGAAAATGCAGTTGAAAGCAATCCTTAGCAATAATAATACCCTTTTACTCAACTTGTACCGTGTAATCATGACTTATGTGTTGACAATACAATTTATTTCAACTTGACAGAGGGCGTGGCTGTCTTTGCGCACACGCACGTCCACTGAAAATTGTGATAACGGTTTTATAACGTTGCTAGTAAAGGTTATTTTTGCAAAACAATTGTTATTGACGCAATATATTCTGGTTTAGCGATAAAAAATGAAAGTTTAGTAATAGTCAACTTGGTAAAATTATGATTCAGTTGGTTTGTAGGTTTTGATAAATAGGTACCTACTGAGTGCTGAGGCAGGCCAATTTTACGCTAACATCGGTCAACGATGGCCCACGCGGCGGTTAACGTGTTAAAAAATGTAGATACTAGGTATTTATTATTTGACAAAGTGTTTGGTCTTACGGAACTCATGTCACGATAGACTACCGCGCATAAGGTCACAGGTTCCGATTTCTACGCCGAACAAAGTATAATCGGTGGATAAAAGCTGTAGTTGTAAAAACTGTCCTGCCTTATTTGGTATAACAGCATTTAAGTAATTTACCAATCAATAAAAACAACGCAGGAAGCTTGAAATCATTCCTTTTAGCTATGAAGCAATAACACCTTTTAAAGTTTTTTGTTTCACTACAAAAATTGTTAATATTATGCCAAATTAGGAACTAATTTAATACTAGTTTGCACGTTTAACCCCAAATAAGTCGATATCAATCAAATCGATTATCAGACGGGATTTCCTCTAACGTTTATAAATCGAGTTAAAAACAAATCGATTTCCCGATTAGAAAACAGCTTTGAGTAAAGTGTAATCGCTAGTATCGATTACCGTAATCGTATAATAATCCGAGAAATTATGTCAGGGATAATTTTTGTTTATTAATTTTTAATAGAAGTCGTGTTGACGTGAAGTATGCGATTATGTATTCGATTTTTCTATATAAGGATGTAATAATCGAATGAAAATGTAAAATGAGAATTCTATGAGTAACATTGAATGTTGTTTTATAAATAATTGAATGTAATGTATGTCTGTAAGTATTTTTAAATGATATAAAGTTATATATAGTTTGCTATGTTATGTTAATTTAGTAATGTTAACAACATTACTTGTATGAATAATTATTTAAAATTAATATGAGTTTAAATGAAAAATATGTGTACAAAGAATAGGTTGGTATTTTTCAATTAATAAAAACATTTTTTGAGATGCTAATTGGAAATTCTCTAGTTATATTACTGTTAATATTATAGAATATGGTATTTTAATTCGATTTCATACCTATACCTATTTTTGAAAATGGAAAACCGAAATGCACAATGCAAAATGCATACGCGTTATTTTGTTCGATATAATACGTATAAATACAGATTTACCTATAAGTAAAGTACTTTATTTATATGTACTTAGATAATGATCATTGGTGACTGAGCTAAACTGTACCAAAAGAGCGAAAGAGAGATCAGAGAGTACATACATTTCTATACAATTTCCTAACCCTTTGAACGGCAAACTTATACAATCACAAATTCTCTTCCAATCCCCCTGATCCGGGCGTGTTGTCGAAACTGATGCCCTATTGTTTACGCATTCTACTGATCCGTTATTTATGTACCGCTTTTGTTTTCGAAAGACATCGGTCCTTGATACCCTACCTAAGCAAAGCAAGGGTTAACGGATTTTCTATAACAAGATGTTTGTAGACAAATAAATTGGTAACAATAAGCCTTTGAAGATTAATTGAATTTGCAAAATGTGAAAATGATAATGTTGTACATCTTTATTATTTAAAAATTGTATTGTAAATTTAATTAATAAATAATAAAATAAAAGAATTAGTCACGCCATTTTTTTCTTTAATATGAGGTAAATCAACCACATTCACTTTATTATATTTATTATATTAAAAATATTAATAAATTAGTTACGCTTACTTTAGCTACGGTAGAAATTACACCTTTCTAGATATTTTATTGAAATCACATTATGATACCTATATTTATTTATGACCTAGGTAACTAGGTACGAGTTAAATAGGCTATTTACTGAATATATTTAGAATTCCAGCTATCAAGTTAACTAAGAATTATTACATAAGATAATTGACCATTTGATTAATACAACAATTAATAGTTTACTAAGAATTAATGTAAATTAATTCATTCTATATAAAATGAATAATGTGAACTAACTAGAACAGTTACTTACTAATGACATTTTAATTAATTAAACGATTTGTTTCTATATTTGATTATTATTATAAATGCGAAAGTGACTCTGTCTGTCTGTCTTTTCTTCACACCTAAACTACTGGACCTAATTGTCTGATATTTGGTACAGACATAGTTTGGAACTCGAGAAAGGACATAGGATTTTTTGTACCAAAAATCTGCAGGAGAACAAAGTCGCGAGCAAAACCTAGTATTATATATAACACCTATAGTAGATACTTATACATTTTAAATATAATAATTGTCACATTTATTTTTAAATATTAATTTATGAATCCGGATAAATTAATGGCGTAACATTTTAATTTAAAGGAAATAATTAAATACACAATTTATGCAATTAAGAGTTAACGAACGCAATTAGGTTTCAATAATAAATTTAATATCATAATTGGGTGGAAGAAGCGAAAATATTTTAATTAATAAACGGTATGCAGGAAAACGATAACAATAATATAATAATAATGTATGTAAGTTATAATTATTATTGCAAAAATAATAACATTATTATAATAACCATTATCAATTAATTTTAATATAGTATTTTTTCCTCGTTACGAGACTAATTCGGAATTTCCAAATTTTGTTTGTCACATCGATTTCTGGTCATAATTAGGCATGATAATATTAATTATTGTTATGGGGTTAGCAGCTTAATTAATGACCTAAGTATGTTTACATTTATATACCTCCCTGCCTCTTTATACCTAAGTATGTAAACTAGAGGAAGTTAATTTACCTAGATGGTACGTGCCGAAATATTTTCGAAATACCTATGTAGGTAGGTTGTTTAATTTATAATGAAAAAGTCGGATAGCCAAGTTAACAATTAAAATAACATTTTGTTTAAATTTGTAAGGTAAACAACCGCTCTAGTGATCCATATATAGGTATCGAATAAGTAATTAATGAAATACCGTCAAAACATATGGTACAAAAATAAATGTTTGCAGAAAGAAAAATAAAATTATCAAAGCTGACTAGAAAATTATTATGGAATATGTAATAGAAAAAGTATTTAACTACGTATTATTCTACTAACACAAAATAATGTAAGCAGAATACAACTGAAATAATTTAAGCTGGCTTATTAAAAACACCGACAAAAACTAAGTATACTAAAAATGATGATCGGAATCATAAAATAAAAACTTAACGAAACAAAAACGAAACTTTTTGAGCACCAACATTAAAAAAAGGAAAAAAACATGTACCTAACTATAATACAACCTATACAACCTCTAACTAATAATTCTCAATTCTAAATCTACATGGTGTTCAATCTACCCACTTTCTATACCTGTCCAGCTAAAGTGAATGAAAATGTTTACTAACCTGTTAAAGGTCCAACTGGGAAATGTGATTGGAACAGCGGGCCGAAGGAAGGCACGACGGGCGGCGGGCCTGGCCAGCCCGTCAACCCGTACGCCGCAACAGCCAGCGCACTGAACGGCGTCGGCCGCACCAGCTGCGCCTTCTCCGACGGAGGTCTCTCCTCGTCCTCACTCGGCAAACCATTCTGCAGGTCTTCTACATCTACTATCGAGTCTTCTTGATTAACCGAGTCCTCATACTCATCTTCAGAAGAAGTAACAGTTGCTGACATATTTGATATATTCAAATTTAAAGGTGGGGTCTGAGACGACGGCCTGGGAGACACGGACTTGCCACCGGGCAGCTCAGGCTGCGCCGACGGAGACTGCCTCAACGGAGACTCCGGGATCGTCCTGTGGTGCCTGATCATCTCCGCCGTCTCATCCACTTGGCTCGCCTTCGTATCTGCCAATATTGACGCGACGCTGAAACTGATCCTCGACGCCTTCGGTGGCTCCGTCGCTTCAGCAGGGCTGCTCGGGTACCTCGAAACACTCTGTATCGCCATGTTCACTTCCTTGTCCTCGTAACTTTGTTTCTTTAACATTGAACGCTGGTTAGTTCCATTTAGCACAGCCGGTTCACACTAGGGCGCGATCTACGGATCGTGTACGCATGCGGGCGCAGTCGGAGGTTGACTGGCGGACAGTGGCGGCGCGCGGCGCGCCGGGAGCCTGGCTGGCAGGCGTGGCGTGTGGCGCTCCGCCCCGCCAGACCCGGCCCGCTCCGCCAATCGACCGCTGGCCTGCCGATTGATCCGCGCGGGCGTCGGGGGGAGCGATTTAGCACGCTCTTATCTCGTTAGTCTCCTTTGTGATACTCGATTTTTTTTGTAGGAATCAAAACATAATTACCTTTTGTAGGGGTTCGCGCGTTTTGATCGCACACTTTATGCCCGCCACCAGAGGTATAAAGTATAAAAATATAATGAGCAGTCGTGAATGCCGCTTGTTAAATCCTTTTGAGCGTTCTCTGCTGGTCCCTTTGTAGGATTAGCGCCGAGGGGGCATTGGTTTGATGAATTCTGCTGCGTCCGTGTTTACGGATCCGTTTCAAATTAGCGCAAATGATTTACAACGAAGCTGCTCACTGTTATTTATATTTTGATTTATATAACTTTTATCGTAAGAATGTCTTTGCGATATAATAAGTGCCTATTTGAAGAAGGCATCGTTTGAAAAGGTCATGCTCGTTTTCTCTTCAATTCCAATTACTTTTTTGATAAGTATTGGTTTTATTTTTAACGATCTTATCATACTATAGATACGAGATCAAGGTGTACCGACAAAAGTGATACTAATAAAAAACTTACAACAGGAAAATAGTAAATAATAACCTTAAACTATCCATTTAGGCGCCAACATTACTTAACCACAAATGACCACAAAGGCAGCAAATAGTAATAGAATAAGGTAACATATTTGTTATGAGTAATTTTTTCTTAGTAGAAAATATGGAATATTTCTCAAACAAAACATTAATACCAAATAAAATGGCATGTCTGCTTATTGAAGTCAATATTATTAATAGTATCATTAACACACGCAATTCAATTGAAACAAATAATGATTTCGTAGAAGTGGAGGAAACATTAGAATAAGGATTTGGCGTCTTAAAAACGGTTCCATAAATATTTCAAATTTAGAAGAATTATTTTTGTATTCGAAAGTTAAAATTTTACAAAACGAATGAGATAAAATAGTTGCAAAAGTTACAATGTACGAAATTGAAAATTCGAAAATGGAATTGAATGAAATAGACAAATCGGCAATTTTTTTTAAGCTTGAAGCTATCAATCCGTATAATGTACCTACCTACCTAAAGGTAGTGGATTTTTTTAAAACAAAACGTATATCTTTAAATTGCTACTAGAAACCCATCAAATTGTAGCTGCTACTAAGATCTCATAACCAGTTCGTTACTATAAACAATTATAGCACTGTTGTTACTGCTCACGTAATTAAGATCAAATGAAACATATCAATAATAATCGATATAAATAATCCTATAAACCGACAAACATCGCACAATCTTCAATTTATTAATATACAGCAAGATGGCGTCCAAAAAATCTTCACAAACGGATAAACTCAATCAAAATTAGATAAGGGTTGTTACTTGTTACTTAAAATAAACACCAACTATCTTCACAGTCGGTTAGCGACAAAACCGGAGGGTGACAATCCTATTCACGCGACGTCATAAACGTCAAACAAGGGGTGATATCCGATGACTACTATCTCTTTCACACTTATGGAATACACTAAATAGGTATTTAGTATTCGGAAGGGGAAAATAGTTAATTTTGTGGGGTGAGATGGAAAAAATTGTCTACAATAACATATTTTGCTGTCATTTTCGCTCTTTGTAGATGGCGTTAGAGTCGATAATTGATTGGTTTGATTGTAAAAGTGGTTTGTAAGTTGTGGGGAACAGTTTTCCTTATTGAATGTGTGTGATATAAATATAAATGTTATTAATTATGATTGGCTTCATTGATTTTGGCTTAGAAGGTGTTTGGGGAAGCTAGGGGAGAATTGAGGTTGACTGTTATGATAGTGTTCGGTTTGTGTATGTAACCATTTTGCCAATAAGTCAATAATGACTTGGAAAACGGTTTATGCTGTTCGAATGCGGTTGAATATTAGGCAGTAGACAACTACTGCAGTACTACATCATCAGACTTAAGCTCGCCTAATCGTAGGTGCAAGCGCAATCATGCATTAATATGCAGGTATAATTATGCTACTGTAGAACAATTTACGTTTGATAGGTTAGTGTTTAAATGAGGATATCGTTTTCTTGGTATACAAAAAGTGTGTAAGTAGTATTGGATTGATGCACATGTCATGTCCTAGCTAGGAATATGGGTTCAAACTTAATAATGTTCGGTGGCCTTGGAGCAAGCAAATGAACAGGGTGGTTTTAGTCAGTCTGACACTCTGTCTAGCGTCACACAGAGTGGAAGAAAAGAGAGGATGAATTTACCTTTTCAAAAAAAAACCACCTAATTTGATACTGTCTCTTTACGTACCTTAGTACTCTATCTAGCACTTCACCAAAAAAAATATTCTTTACCCAATTAATTACAAATATTCTATACGACATAAGCGTATGGAAGAGGCAATCAAACAGGGCTCAAACATTAAAAAAAATACTTGTGCAAAAAAAAAATCCTAATTAAAGTCAAAATTAGCAACATACATACTCACTAATGACACGACACATTTCGTCCACGTGTTGCTAGTGTTGCCATACAAATGATGTGGCATTCTGAGCGCCGTCGCAAATATGGCCCGCTCTCATACAAAAATGTATGGAATCCACTATTATGATTTACGTGGTCATGCAAAAAAATGTGAGAAAAAATGTTAACAATTTTTGAGACAAATGATGTTCCGTTTTTTTTAGTTGTGCTCAGATCGGAAACTGAACTGCTGGGTTTATTCATTCTTGGATGACTACGACGACTTTATGATAATCTAATCAATATTTAAGTATTAGCGTATTCAGACGGGTTCTCGGGTCAAGTTCAATAATGTACCGCAGCCTCGGCCTGGACCAGGAGAAGGACTGGGGTGGTTTTTAGTCAGTAAGAGTCCCACACTCTATCCCGCTCCACACAGAGCGAAAGAGGTAATTTGATGATGTTCCCAAAAACCTAGAGGCAGATACCTGAGAGGTAGGTAACTAAACAAATATAAAACCTAAACCTTATCTTTTATCGATTGGCGACACGCAGTTGACAATTTCATTGTTATAGATATCTATATACCCATATGTGCCTTCTGAAGCGTCCATTAATTATTTTGTAACCTTATTGGTAGCATATGTATGTAGTAATATTTAAACCTTCATTGGTAAGTAATTTTGGTAGGTAAGTTACTCCTTTTCACTTTTAACTCTAGTCTCTTTAACCTTTGGCAACGACCACCATCATGACAATCACGCTACAACTAAAGATTTCAAAGACAAAATAAAAGTTAATACTTTTTATGATTTGGCATAGGCCTTTATAGTACTGGTAGGTACATACTCGAACAAAAACTCCAACCCCTTCCAAACTCTATTCCCGTCACAAAAAGCACTGCATCACATAAAAAAGACACATTAAATAAATAGGTACTTAAGTACCAACAAATCCATCACCATATTTAGCATTTATCTCAAGCTGTAGCTATAAACGATGCTCTCGTAAAAATATCACCCAAAACATATATCCATTTGAACAAGTAAATTAAAATAGATTTATAAATCACGCTGTAGCTACCGTGCGGGCGTAGGCGACGGACAAAGACTAGAGATGAAATAGACACGACAGTTTTAGGAGAATTAAGCTGGAAATCTACATAAGTACTTACCTAAACATAAGAAACGATGTCATATTAATCATGAATTATTTGTAAAGAGTCGATGACTATTTGTAAACACATCTATTTAATCACAACTTCGTAACGTAATGGTAGAATTAAGAAAGATATTGACATGAACGTGACAATCAAAAACTTGACATCGACATTAAAAAAAATGATGAAGTTACAACATCTCATATCAGAATGCCATTTTATATTTTAGATAGTACGATTTAAGTAGGCATAATAAATAAACCAACAGTTTTTTAAAGAACTTTTGAAAAATATCGATTTCCTAATTTAATCTTTGTCGTATCGTTGATGAGCGTGCATACCCACAGCATAATGAGACTAGTGAAACCAGGAACACGTCAATTAGCAGACATTTTGCCGTTTATGTTTTTTTGCCGCCAAAAAAATATGATTTATGAACAAACCGTGGAACATGACACTCGTTATGGCCGTTACTAATTGTCTATGGGTTTTGGTTATGATTGTTAAGGATGGAATTAGTCGATTTATGTGAGCAGTCTCAAAATCTAATGTTGTGCTAAGAGTTTACTAAGTGAAGATGGAAGGATTAGCTGCAAGCTGCTGATTAGACACAATATTTTTGACATATTATTAAAACAGACAGACATATTTTATATTTTTTGCCTAAACAGCGCTTAATTTGAACTGAATCGATGATTATATTTAGGTACGTACTGGTTTTATTAAATGTAAGCAAAAAGTTCTCAACCCATTTTCTCACATGTTTTATTTATAAATATAACCCTAATTCATTCCCCAAGCGATACAAATACACTTAAATATTAATCCTCATTCACATAATCACTTTTTACTGCAGGATAAAATCAGTCTTACTAGTCCTTTTACAACTATCAACATAATTAAGCCATTAGCCCGATAATCGAGAAACGATTCAGACGGAGAAATCTCGATTCTCGCGGTATCGATACCGTTGACTTTATACCCATATGTGTATACTTCACTAGTAATTAAGTCACATTCTAAAGCTACAATTTAATCTGCAAATAACATTCCGCCTCTTTCTTGAAATTCTTCCTTATGGTGTACAGAATAAGAGGTATCGTATATTTTATTAGCGATAAAGATAATGTGGTTGAATGATGTCTCCCGGTTAATTTACTTCGGGAAGGAAATATTTTCGTTCAAAATTCTATTTTGACATTCGTGTTAATCGTCCGCAGGTGTGTACTGGCATTTGTGGTATGTGTCATTGATACTTTAGCTACTGAGGCATTCATCATCTTTGTATAATT